GATCACTGCTTCAGATCTTAGGATTACTTCTCCAGACACTAAAGAAGAAGAAGAAGAAGAAGAAGAAGAAGAAGAAAAAAAAAATAATGCTGAAAATACTAAAGAAGAAGAACAAGAAGATACTGAAGAAGAAGAAGAACAAGAAGAAAAAGAAGATGTTGAAAATACTGAAGAAGAAAAAGAACATGTTGAAGAACAAAAAGAAGAAGAAGATGGTCAAGATGCTGAAGAACGTCACCAAGAACAAAAGTTAGCAAATAAGAAATTGCAAAATTCTAAAAGCACAGAAACTGCCAGCTATATGAGAGATGAATGAGATGCCAATCAACAAGACACAAATGAAGACTTTGATGGCTTGTGCCACATTATGATCAATGATGCACCTGAGGGACAAGACACATTCATCAACAAACACTTGAAAAACTTCAAACTGAGAACAACAATTTGCAACTTGACAACACAGTGAAGACCGTCTACATAAATAAACTTGAAGAGGATAACATACTACTCACAGCACAAATACAACAATTGAAAGATGAAAATTCGTGATTGCATAACCAATTGGTTGAAAAAGAGGTCCATGAGATAACCCAAGAAGTTTGTGGAGGAAATAATTCTGGGACAGATGCAAGGAATATAGGTCATACTATAAAAGATGAAAATTCTCAAGTGGTGCAGAAAGAGGTCCATGAAAATTTTGAAGTGGTGAAAAAAAAGCTCCATCAAAAAGAGGTCCATGAGATAACGCAACAAGCTTTTGCAACAAAAGATTGTGAGACAAATACAAATGCAAAAGATTGTCAAAATTCTCAGTTGCAGAATCAGTTAGTGGAAGAAGAGATCCATGATTAACCCAACAAGTTTGTTCAATAAAAGTCAATGATCTGACAGAATCAAGAAAAACAAATCTACAGAATTCCATGATTAAAAATATCAAAGCTAAAGCAAGGAAGACTACCGAGACATTAGATTATGAGTACGGAGGCAAGAAAGTTAAAGTTGAGAAAGAGAAGAAACATAAAGATGAGACAATTTCTAACAAGTATGTTGTGGCTCAATTGCTACCTCCTGGAGATAAATATAAACTACAAATTCTTTGGAAAGAAAAGCAAACATAATCAAGGTATAATCGTACATAAATGTTGCAATTTTTCATATAGTACAAAATATGAAATGAAACTGAGAAATAGCTTTGTTTTTTAAAAATATTTTGAATTAATTATTAACACATTTTTTTCTTGTTTTGTAGTGTGCTTGTATATGGTTTGGTGAAAGATATGACAATTGTGTCTCTATTAATGATATCAAGAACTTGGTAAAAAGGAACGACATATCCAACTGTGTACGTATAAAATTTGCAATATTTTAACATTGAAAAACTTCTCATTAATTTATTAACATCACTTTCCAATTTGACAGACAATTGATGCATATGCTGAGATTCTTGAAAGAGAACCACAAGTACAAAATTATAGTGATGGAGCAGAGCACAATGACAAGTCTTTCGACTGTCAAGTCTATATTAGGTAAGGAATAAATGTGCATGTGTCAATTCTATACGTTATCTTTCTTTCGATTTTGGTTTCAAAGTTGATTTTTTGTATTTGTTATCATTGCTGTGAATGTTCTCAAATTTTGAGTTTGGTATCATTGCTGGGAATATACTCAGATTTCGAAACAATTTGAGTGACAAATCGTACTTAATCATGTTTTGTTCCTTTTGATCGAGATTTGAATATTGAGTTTCGTACCATTACTGTGAATATTCTTATATTTTTTTGTAAAAAACAACCAATGTTAAAGAAGAAAACTTCAGAAAAAAAGAAAAAGATTTTGAAAAATAGTTTGCAAGAATCCCTCACATGTAGATACATCCATATCTCCATCCACAATTCCAATCACTAGACATTACTTGTTATCGACAAACACTTGGGAACTTAGAAACATTTCAACTCTTTAAGACCAAGAAAAGGAAAGGACAAGCACTACAACATTGCATATCAACTGGTATGAACAATTTTAGATTACCATTATAATAATCAAATGTAAATCATTACATACTTTATATTGATGTTTTTAACAGCAAAAAATCATCAATGAATACATGAAGGATACATCTTGTCAAGCAGAAAAAGCATGGAATCCTAATGTGAAGATTGAATCAGTCAAAGATAGTGATGCAGTGCTGATCGAAACAAAAGTAACAATCTTAAGATCCGTTGATTCACACAAGAATACCGGAAATAAGACTCCTCTTTAGACCCGTTGATTCCCAAGAATACCGAGTTTAAAGGCTCAACCAAAGTTGATTCACACAGAATTAACCAAAGTTGGAACAAAGAGTAATAAAACTCAAAATATATTAATCATCAAAAACTCTCCCCTTGCCCTAAGGCTTACATCTTTATTTATAATGAACCTAATTCTTGTAGAACAAGAAACAAATAAAATAGGAAATAAAATCAAAACTAAGAAAATAGGAAAACTACATCATATTAAATTAGGAAACTAAATAACTAAATAATTCCATAATATTCTATACCAATTTAGAATATTCATGGTCAAATATTAATTTTAAAATAATAAAATAAAAATACTTATTTTCTAAAATTCAGTCTGCATCAGAATGTTGTTAGAATACAATGTTGCTCTCTGTCTTAAAAGACATAAGTGAAACCTCCCTAACATGAAGCTACACTAAATGCTTTTAGCAACCTTTGGCTACGTTTGATTTAGTTTTGAAAGATAATTTGTGAAAAAGAGTTTTGAAAATTCAAAACTTGTTTGGTTTCGAGTTTTCAAACTAGTTTTGAGTTGTATAGTTTGAAAATAGTATTTAGAAATTTGAAAATTCAAAACTTGTTTGGTTATGAGTTTTCAAAACTAATTTTTGAGTTTTTTTGGGTTTTGTGTATTTTTGTATTGTAGTTATTTTTTTTGTACAATATTATAGTCCAATTTGTTTACTTTTTTCATATACCTAATTTAAATTTACTTTTTAGATGCATCTAATCTAATCTATAGGGTAAAGTTTCACTCAATATTTTTTTTTTATCTTTTATGAACATTTTAAAAATTTTAACACTTTTTTATTTATTTATTTATTTTATATCCACTCAATCTACAAACATTTAAAACATTCAACATTTATAAAAAAAAAATGTATAAAACTATTGAATAATGAGAAATATAAAATTAAAAAAAATTGTTTGAGCCAAATTAAAAATTAATACAATTTTAATGTTTTATGTATTTATGAAATTTGTTTTCATTTCTTCACATTTTATTTACTCAAAACTAAACAAGTTTTTTGGATTTTAAATTTTGGCTTCAAATGAATTTTAAAATTTATTTTTAAAAACTAAAAACCAAGCAGATTTTGAGTTTTAAACTGTGAAAATTGAATTTAAAAAACAAGCCAAACGGAGCCTCGTTTCTCTTTTTAAAGTTTATTATTCTTGAACTTTAAAAGATTTATTATTATTTGTTTGGTTTTTTTTTTTGCCATAAACTTCCGTTTACTAACCTTCATGTTTAGAGGGACACTTTGAGAATCTGATTAAAAATTAGATTTTAGCTTTTAACTCATTTTAAGTCATATCATTTTTTACATTTTTTACTCATAAAAAGAAAAAAAAAAACCGAAAAAAATTAAAAAGCTAACTTTTAACCAATTTTTCAAAACACCCCACAATTAAAATTTTTCTAACCAAAGTTAAGTTGACCTCATCTTGATAGGAGATGGTTGTATACCTTTCTACTTCCTCATATTTAAGTTAAGATATTTTATAATACTATCAAAAAAATGTCATAATTAAATTACTGTCGGCTATAACTTAAAAAATCACAGTAAATCATAATTAAATACTACCAAACGTAAGGCATAACTAAAAATCTCTTCGATTATAATCAAAATAAAAATCATAAAAATATGATAATTAAGTCATAACCAATATAACAATAGATCATAATTAACAACAATGAATGTCATAATCAAGACATATGGTACATAACTTTTTTTTAAGGGATATATTATATAATTTTCCATCTATATTTAACCTCTAAGACCTTATTTGACAACTTAAAATTTTAGTTAAAAAGTCAAAAAAATATTATAAATTATCACATCATTCTCTATTTTTTTATATATCTTTTTATAAAAATTTTAAAAAATAATAAAATAATATATTCCCAAAGCCTTAATTCTAACTTAATCTCAATATCCACAATACTACATTAATATGCCAGCTGTTTTTCGGTTATGCTACAGACCCCCAGTGAGGTGGCAGCCCCTCATTCGTCCAAAACACACAAAAAAAAAAAACAGTTTTTTTTTTAACCAATGGGAAGCCACCATTCATACGTGCAGGTCTTAATAAGTAAATTTATTGTCCAATAGGTCCTATATAATTAATGACATTTTTCATTAAACACTATTAAAAAAAGTCATTGATTATTAATTTTCAACGATATTTTGAAAAATTTGTCAAAAAAATATCAATAATTATAAATTTTAGCAACAATTTAAAAAAATGATCACAAAAAAATCATAATTTTTAACTTTTAGCAGCAGTTTAAAAAATTCGTCACAAAAAGAACTCTAATTGTAAGTTTTAGCGACAATTTATAAAAACCGTGGCAAAAAAAAATCGCTAATTATCAATTTTTAGCGACATATGCCAAATATTGTCACAAAAAATTATTTTTAACAATAATTTTACTAAGACTTATTTTTAATAAGACTTATTAAAACTTCTTGATAATTTACTCTATTAAATAAAACATTTTGATACCTTTGCATTCTTAGTTTTTTTGCCGATTTGAAACACCAAACATTAGATTTATAAAGAATGGAGTGACTCTAGCATTCCTAATTTGTCGGTATGACATGAGCCAAAAACTCTTCCTATAGTCTATCTCCTTTCTTCAAATACTAATATTGCATTTGGTTCACTAAAAAAAAAAGAAAAAAGAATATAATAGAATAAAATGATCAGTCCTTAACCTCCATAAGAAATTACAATTCTTCTATAAATGTTGAAAAAATTTCCTTCATAGCCCCTTTATGGTACAAGATTTTCCTTCAACTTTGGTCCTAGCAAATGCCGTCTTTCTTCAGTGAGCTTCCCAGATCCTTAATCGGTCATGATCTTCAAATGTGGCATCCTCTTACTGGCACGTCTAATCTGAAGGGCAGCTGTAACAACATTTCCCCTTGTAATAATTCCAACCTTTTACAAACACAGACCAATGAGAAACAGTCAATAGGCATACAATAAAATTGAAAATCTAATAACCAAATAAATCAGTTATTTGGCATAATTTAAATGAGTATACTTTTTTATTTTTTACAAAAAATGTACAGAAAAAATAAAGAGATGATATAAGTTAAATAAATACACTTATTTAAGGAATGCCAAACAAGTAAGAGAAAAATATTTTACCAGCCTGCCATCATCATCTATAACGGGCAATCGGTGATATTTTGTTTCAATCAACAACCTGAAAATTAGAAGAAAAAAAATCAGTTTGGGGTGTTTATGGTTCCAACTTTCAAGGAAAATGAATGGCTATTACATTTTGAAGCAAATAAAATGTTTTTTTTTTCGAAAAAGGCAAAGTTTAGAGGTCCGTCCTCTATTTTTTTTCTTTTTTCTTTTTTCTCCTGTTATCAGTAGAATCATGACGTAAAATCATTACGATTTGGTGTGTTTATAGGACAAATTTTCATCAAATCCAAATTGAAAAACAATTTAGACAAACAAATCCTTTTTGCCAACGATTAAGAGGTCACAGGAACATGTGTTTTACTTGTAAGTAAAGCATAAAGACAGTGCAGAAAGTGACCTTCAAATAATTTAAATTGATGTTTATGGAAGCATAAAAAAGGAGCAAGTACCTCACGGCATCTTCAAGATTAGCGGTTTCACGAACAACAAGTGGATCAGGAGTCATCATATCGCCAACAACTTTCCCATTAGTTTTACTAAGCAGTCTCTGAATCTCATTAAATCTCTGCCATAATGTGCAGAATCACAAAAACAAGTAGCTTGTGAGTTGATTTCACACAATGTCTTGAGGATTTCACATAAAAACATCAAATAAATTCTTATACAATAGAAACTGTCAACTAGACAATCAGAAGAGAGGTGTAAAATCAATCATTCTGGTTTTTGCAGTCAAATAAAAATTGAGAAATTAAAGTGTTTTGATGAAATACTTCGCTTTTTAGTTAATATCCACAATGTCAACTACAATTGTCAATAATTTGATATGAATTCTACATAACATGCTTACATTCAGAGTTACCAGTCTCGTACAAGACTTGAACACCTTTAAGGGGCATTTCATTATGTCGCAAATCTAACTGGTATGTCTCTGGTGAAAACTTCAAATTCAAAAGTGCAATCAACAAGTAAGAAGGTACATGTTGATACAATGAAAAACTCCATTTTCTATTCATTTAACATCTTAGTAGTTCAAATTTTAAAATGGATAAAGACCTCCAACAAAATTTTGTGGTCATGTCATGTGCATTATTGATAAACTAAAAGAAGTACGCAAATGCTTGAAATTTATGATATACTAACAGAAAGGGATGTGGTTGAATTTTCAGCTATCAGAGCGTCGAGTTTAAAGTTTAGGATCAATGTTCCAATTCTTTGTCAATCAACAAGTCTACCATGTTTCTTAGGACATTCTTGAATGATCGAAACAATTAACAATTGTGTGATGTATATCACCAGAATCACAACAGCAACATTCCACAACTTTGTCGGGAAAAAAAAAAAAAAAAAGAAAATAAAGTTAATGACCCATTTATTTATTAAATAAGCAAGTTTATATTAAATTATTTTAAATACATAACTCGTCTTGACCCGACCAAATCGACCCATTTGCTTTGTCTATTCTAACCATGGACTCATGGTCCTCAATTGGGTTTAATTTGGCCCAAATTTATAATTGAAGTAAGACATTTTTTTATTAAATTCAAAATTTATTAAAAAATATAATATAAAAATTTGAAGTGTACTGCGTGTCGCTATAATTGGTTAGAATCACATTTTGAATAATGTAGGAGTTATGAAAAAGATATTATTATGAAATATTTCATAAAAATTTTGCACCCTTAAATTACACATATACCATAAACTACCATATACCATAAACTAACATATCATAACAGCCCATAACATAACTACCATATACCATAACAAATCGTCCTCCTAGCATAGAACACCTTTGAATTACACCAATACACTAATAAAATAAAAAAAACTCTTCCTGAAATTACTCTGATAATCATTGCAACTAAATACAAAATTATATCCGTTAGACTCCATATATCTTCACTTTCTCTCTCTCTCTCTCTCTCTCTCATCTTCTATCCCCGTTGCTCACAGTAAGTTTCTCCTTTCTATCTTCTCTTTTCGGTTGAATTGCAGAATCCCTTAAAATACCTTTGAATTCCTGAAAATATTCTGATAATCATTGCATTAAAATACAAAATCATATCCGTTATTGGACTCCATATATCTTTGCGTGCTCTCTCTCTCTCTCTCTCTCTCTCTCTCTGTCTCTCGTTTTCCATCCCTGTCGCTTACAGTAAATTTCTCATTTCTATCTTCTCTTTTGGTTGAATTACAGAATCCCAATAAAAACATAGGTAAAATCGCAAATAATGTACATGTGGGGACATAATTTTTGAATGACAACACGTGGCCGAGGTGTCACCGAAGTGCCAGCTGGGGTGCCACGTGTCCTGGTCATGACGCCGAGAACATCTCGGCTAGGTCGAGGTTATCTGCGAAGATACCGAAATCTGGGATAAGCGGATAAGGGACAAGACTCCTAGAATGAGAGAGGACTTCAGTTTGGGTAAAGATAAGACTCTTAGAGAGTTTATCCCAATCCTA